GAGGAAAGAAAGAGTTTGCTCCAATGAAGTGTAGTGTTAAAGCTACAGATTACAAAGATATTTTAGAACATTTATATGGTTCCAACTTTGTGGCAACAGCTTGTGGAAGACCCTTTCCTGTTCCAGCATGACTGTACCCCTGTGCATAAAAAGAGGTCCATAAAGGCATTGTTGGAGGAGTTTGGTGTGGAGGAACTCTAGTGGCCTGTGTGGAGAAGAGTGGAAGCTGTTATAACTACAAAGGCAAGGGCCAACTCTATGCTAATCATATAGGCGTGATGGTCAGGTGTCTACATACATTTGTCCATAGAGTATTATTTTTGATTCTTAATCTTAACTTGTGTCATTGAAATTTAGTGTGAAAAGGAAATACTGCAGAATTTGTTCAGGTTGGTCTAAAGTGATGCAATTTAGTATAGTTATGCATAGAACATAGAACAAAAGCAATGAACCGAATCACATTTTTTGCTTTACATGTCATTTTCCTACTTTTTTTCACAAGCAAAGGTGAATTTTCTATTGTTTTGTTACAATTAAGGAGTCACATAACCAAAAGACTAAATTGAATATGATAGGTGACAATTACAAAAAGAATTTATATTTAGTTTGTTTAAAAAGGTGCCAAAACGGAAGCTAGGACTTCACAAAAAGAACAGATTAAATTATATCCATTAAAGTATTTATCCATTATTTTTTGTAAAAAGTGATGCAGTCATGTCATTTGGAAAAATGATATACAATATACTGAAATAAGATGAAATTGAAATATAATTTAAACATATGTCAGTGTTAAACAAGTTTGGAATCACTGTTCAAAAATCTGAAATTAATAAATCTACGACATTAGTCCTATGCAACTTCATGGGCTTGAAATGATTAGTAGAAAACTAAAAAGCTGGAAATAAAAGTAAATCTGTCCAGAATTATGAACAGAACTGTGGATGATTCTTAATTGACTGTATATTACAGATAATTAACTTATGTCATTATTTTCATATTTTAAAATTACAGAAAGATAATTACAACATATTTTAATACAATTACAATATATTACAATATATTGTTTATATTTTATTCACTTCTTGTTCACCTAATTTTTGAATTAATGAAAACATCGAAAGGTACCTTTTGGCTAATGGTTTGTAATATTTAGATCCACAGTGAATTTTTCCAATGTTAGTAGTGGATTTCACACATTATAGTATCTAGCTGCTAGCTAGTTGCTATATTAAGTCCAAAATGTGTGAAGTGACCAACAGTTACCTCATTTAGAAGAACATGCAGTCACAATGAGCTATTAGCGATTTGCTAATTACAACCTGCTTGTGAATGGTGGCCATTTTGAAGTAGCTAGTAGGTACTGTAATTGCTGTAGGCTATGCGTGCTGGTCACTCTGAAAAAGATAATTGGGTAATTAAGTGGTTAAAATAAGCATATGGCAAAGTGGGCTCATGCTAAATAATGGAATAATAGCACAGCTGATTGGTAGAATGAGCATATGTTCGTAGGACAAAGGCACACAGACGTGCACTGTGTCTACTGCTATCATAAGCATATGTTTAAAAGACAAAGGCAGAAATGCACCTCCCCCCTTTTCTTCTTCTCTCTGGGACACAAAGTTGAAATTGTCAGGGAGGTTGAATAGATGCTTAAATGACAGACTGACACACATGCATGCACACACACAATTTTGACGGGTACTGTGGGCATATGCCCATATGTGCCTATTTGTAATGTGGGACATCTGGTCCAAACCTCCATGTTCACTTTAGTTAAGCGACCATCAATCAAAAAGACAGGGTGTCGAATGTGTTTGTGTTTGAGACAGGCAGAAAGGAGAGGAGTTCACTGTGTGTGTGTGTGTGAGAAAGAGAGAGAGAGAATGTAAGAGTGTTTATGTAAGTTTAATGAGACAGAGAGTGTGAGGGTGCTTTATTTTTAATACGTTTTAGATGCCTTGTGTGTGTGAGTGTGTTCACTGCAGATACACTCTACAGTGAGGGGAAATGAGCACTTCTGTTTTTGTTACTCAATATACTTCGAGTTCATATTTATATTTATAATGTACACACATAATGGCCTTTATTCATCAAAGTTATGTAAAAGAGAGTGCATATTTAATGACATACAAACTACTCTGCGTCCGATGAAACTTTCATACGATGTGGAAACAAGCAGAGATTTAAGCGAATGATGAATGAGTTCCAGTGCGTGAAATGAAGTGCCAGCCTACCACTGCATCATTTACTTATCATTTATGTGCTTGCCCTAATTCATTCAAGGTGTTTTGGTAGAGAGCTAATAAAACACGCACACGCACTTCTACCACATGTGAGTTTGATTGTATAAATATGCCAAATATAAAATTGCTCAATGACAAAACTGCCAGTGAAATGTGTGTGTGCTCATTTTAGGGTCAAATTTGACCATATGCAAAATGAATGAATAAAGGCTAATGTCTTTTGCCTTTGTACTTACAAATATGATCAAAAATATATATGTATTCATAAGCATAAACAAAGACATTTAAAAACTGATAGGGGAAAAAAGTATTCAGACACCATAAATGACAAACATTACTACTTTGCTGCATAGCTGTTAGCTTTGAGAAACCTATGTTAAGAAGTAAGTAGCTTTTTGTAACATGGTGACTCAAGCTTGGCTCCTTCCTCGTACATTGTTCCAAAAGAGTTCTGATTTGTGTAATTGTATGTGTGCAATTTTTAAACTAATTTTTTTGCAGAGGAGTTCTGTTTGGGGTTCCACTTGCATATTATCAAACAAGTTGTTCAGAGAGGAATTTTCAGGGTCTTTGCTGCAGCTCTGTAGCTGTTCTGTATGAATGTTCTTCAACAAATTTTGTCCATGAGAATTTCAGGAAGTTCCTTCAGCTTCTCGATGACTGATACTTGTGTGAAATCTCCTGATGATGAGTACTCCCTGAGAACTGACCATTTTATATGCACTGTTTAACCACAACTATTTGAGTATAAAAAAATACACATATATATATATGTATATGTGTATATATATATATATCATATATATATATATATATGTATATATATATACTAATATATAGGAAATCAGTGGAAGTCCTCAGAAGTAATGTAAGACAAACGTGTGTGTGTGTGCGCGTGGGGTAAGATACATTAAGCCGTTCTATTACGCAAAGCTATGCCATATGATGTCTTCACAGGGGTGTTGTTTGAAGCCTTTGTCACATCCTCTTGCCTTTTCTTCTGTTCTGTCCCTCGTGTCTCGCACATGCATGCACACACACAGACGATCAATAGTCTCTGTTGTATTTAATTGATTTTTATAATCCTGCTCTCTTCATGAGCCATACAGTACCGCCTGGGTTGAACACACTCTTTCAGTAATGTTTTGTGTAATTGTAAACACATATTCATGACAGTGGGGTTAGGCCACACATTGCAAGACATTTTGGGTTTTACGTAAGAATTTAGAAAGTACTTGAGCAAGATTAGAATTTTGGTAACCCTCTACTGTAGGGCAGTGTTCATAAGGCTTCGTGTACATAAGCCCTTCATGATGACTGACGTAGAGCCACATAAACATTTATAAACACTTAGTAATATGAGTTTTTTTTTGGGTAACATTTTGTGGCTGTTGGAACAAAACCTTTATCAATTTGTAATTAATCATTTAACAAATATAAGAACCCCAACCCTCAAATTTGATATTCAAATTTGTGAGGTATTATTCAACAAATATTAGAATAGTGGTGTAAAATTTACACTGATGAAAGCAGTTTTTAAGATAAAGACATATGCAAATGGTCTGTTACCTCGGCTAACGTCACATATAACCTATTTTACCTTGTACTTTATAGCACAAGAACAGCGAGTTTGTAAAGAATTCATTAGCTGATGCCAAACCTGATAAATTAACAAAATCATGCCAAAATATTTAATTACATTAAATCTAAACAAGTAGAGTGTAAAATAAAGATCATCGGCACTGTTCCGTGATGCTTCCTATATGGTGTATCTCTCTTCCAATGTGCAGTGGCCTTTAGCTTGCTGCAGTAGTCCTTCTGTGTTTTCCTCTTTGGACCTCTCAAATTAGGCACTCTGATCATAAAGAGGTATGCTCAACACTGCCTTCTGGTGGGGTATAGAGGTTTAAAAATTCTTAAATATGAGAAGGTATTACGTTAGAAGGAAGCTGAATTATCAAAAATTATAATGTACTATTTTTAAAATGTTAACAACTATTCAAAAATTCAGAATCTTCCTTACATAATAGGCGGGATTAATTGTAACAGGCTTAGGGTCTGGTTGTAACAGTCAATAAAAAATCTGATATGCTACTTAATCAGTACAGTTCTATGTTGTTTGAATCAGATGAACTTGACCTAAATACATAAAAATATATTAATCGGAATAAATATAATAATGGAAAGAGTTAAACCTGCCAATTTTATTTCTGACCAAAAATTTTTTACATGTATTTCACCTTTAACGTGACATCTGACATTTGACAGCACTTGTAAAAAAAAAGTTCCAAAAAATGAACAATTCTGAATTTATTTGGGGGGATATGGGCTTTTCTTATTGTTTATTTTCGGTGCAGTGGTTGTAACGCTGTGTTACAACTTGTTGATCTTGTGCTCCAAAAGCATTACAGCCCGCAAGAGGTAAATAATATAGGTGTGAATTCTGTGACTTACATAAACAGTTCAGTAATCAAAAAAACACAATGAAAAAAGTTGTTTTAATGGTGCAAAGACAGTCTTAAATGTAAATCTCAAGAAATATCTATCCGGTTGCTATGAACATTTGCAAATGGTGTTGCTATGTGAATATGAGAACATGACTAAAAGCATATTTAACTTGACCTTGGTTATTTACATAAAAACACTTTACAGCATCTCTTTGTATGAAGAAGTAGCAGAATAAGTTGAACTGTTAAGTAAGTATAAATGTTGTGAGGTTAATAATAATATTAACTTGTGTTTATTTCTGTATTTCAGGTGTGTGTGTCAGAGGAGAACTCCATGGCTCTAAAGAATGTAAGACAGAGCTCTAGCAGCCGGTCAGAGCAGATGTCAGTGGGGCCATCGGGGGACATGTGGTCGACACACCTACTCTTCCTCTTCGCATTCTTCACACCCGTCATGCTTGGTAATGTTTAAAAATGTTCTGTTTTTTTTCTTTATTTGAGTTGGTCATTCTTACCTGTAAATCTGTAAATCAAAATATGTAAATTAACGTTTCTGACTAAAATCTTTTATTAAAATCCAGTCATACATGGGTACAAATCACGGTTGCTTGTTGTCCTCACAATGAAGGGACAACGTTAGTCAAGTGAGGACATTTTGCTGATCCTCACTTGAGCATGTGTTGTTTTCACCACAACTTGTTTTCGTTTTTTGTTTTTTAAAAAAGTAAAAGAGCAGGAAGATTGCCTTTTGGATGCTGAGGTTACGTTTAGGGTTAGATTTTGATTTAAGTATAGGAATATTTGGCTACTGTAATACAAAACTCTATAGAACCCTATTTAAGTCTCCACTTAGCAAGACAAATGTGTGTGTGTGTTTGTATGTGTATGTTTGTGTGTGGGTGGTGTCTTTAAAAGTGAGTTTGAGACAGCAGTTGAAAAAGGATCTGGCAGATCAATAATCATAGCTGCAGACGTCTAGACGCATTGGATGTGTGTGTGTCCTCAAGGGGACCCTTAGGGTAACAGTTTAAGCTCAAAATGCACTTGGGAATTGGGCTTTGGTGAAATCCTTTCAGGATGTGAAAAGAACCTTCTGTTTCATTCATGCTTTTCCTCCCCTCACCTAAGTGTGGGTGGTATAAATTTCGGTTCATATCACAATTACACTATCTAGTTAGTAATTTCCTTTTAATACCTTTAGGCTGCTTTTTACTTTTATGTAATTATACATCTTGAAATATGCAGTTCTGTGCAAAAGTCAGAGACTTAGCCACTAAGTACAAGTTGTTCATATTTCAGAAGAATCAAAAAAATATTTCAAAAGTTCGAAAAAGGATTAGACGATATAAAGAAAATGGACTTTAAACAATCATGCAAGACCTGCTAGACCATCAAAACTATCACAATCAGATAAACAGATCTTCAAGCTTTCATCTTTGAGAGAGAGGAAAAAAATCAAGCCCCACTCTTGCTTCTGATCTGAAGAAATCCAAAGGTATTTCTGTCCATCCTTCCACTGTGAGAAGAACTCAACACTAGGATCCAATCCCATTTCACCCCTTGCCCCTACCACTTAGCCCCTAGCCCTCTGTTTTGCGCGTTCACATCTAGGGTTAGGGTGTCCCAATTTTTGTTGAGATGGAGGGGTTGGACGAAGCGTTAGGGCTACATGGCCCTCCAAACGGAGGTTTTTCAGAGGCACACTCCAAACGGAGTGTTATCAGAAAAACAGAAAAACCAGCAAGATGGCTGCGCGAGCGACCAAAGAAAACCAACAAATGTGAGAATTTTCTCTGTTAAAAAATTACAATAACTATCGTATTATCTTAGTTTAATGTCGTTTCAATGTATTATGGTCGTTTTCTTCATAACAAGCATTAAAAATCGCTAACAGCATGTTAATGTTTTGGTAGCTAGCTAGCTAACTTTCCCGTTCCACCTTAAACAGTCCAGCAGTACTGATGCCTGAAGCGCCAGAATGTAACTGCTGCACCATTTAAGGTGGAATGGGAAAATTGCGAACAAGAAGCTGACGAGTAGCTGACTTTAGCTTCGTATCACCAAAGAATTAGCGGTGGGCGATAATAAATAATCGTCTTATAACCCCTCTTTGAAAGGATATGATGCCCTAAATGTAACTACAGCCCAGCAGCGAGGTCGCTGAACTTTTCCCTTCTCTGCTATCACTGAAGACGGGCCGGGTCGCCTACAGAGCACCGCTAGTAGCCTGTTAATGAAGCAATGTAGAGCCCAGACCTCAACATCAGTAAATGTGGATTACCTGTTTGTATTGTAAGAAAGAGAAAGTGCAACCAACTTCTAAGACTGAACGTTGGAGGTGTGGAAGACTATACCTGCAGATTTCTTTCAAAAACTGAAAGCAAGTCTTCTGGAGAAAGAATGGCAGGCAAAGAGTGGACATACTGGCTTCTGTGTAATTTTCTGCATTTTTGCCTACTACAGACACATTTTGACACTTAAGTGTATTTTTGGCTTCATACTAACGATGCTAATAATTATGCTAATAATTACATTTTCCCATTTATGAACAAAAAATATATTGCCTGCTTATATATTGTGCTTCTTTTTACACTCCCAAAGCTCCCTTCACCTTTCTTTTCACCTCCCCTTTTCCATTCTCTCTTTTTGTCTCTCTCTCTCCCTCTCTCTGTCTCCTCCGCTCATCTCAAGGGCATAGAAGCTCAGCTACAGTCAGGGAAGAAAACCGTCTAATGCGCACACTGCCTAGACCAAATAACACACCTTCTATCTACTACAACACACACTTCAAGGATGACCCTTCTCACTGCAATTTACATTGCGCACACACACACACACACACACACACACACACACACACACATTCTGCTGTTCTCTGCATTTTTATCCGGCAAGCAAGCTTTATGTGCCTTCAGAGATCGCTCTGTAAGTGCGTGTGTCTTTGTGTTTGTGTGTTTGTCAGTCAAAAAACCCAAGGGAGTGGATCCGAGCAACGTCACTTCAGTGCCAAGCTCTGATTGGTTGACAGCTTGTCTCCCTAATGCCCCATTGGTTTTTAGTTGCTTCCGTCAGAGTGTGATTTAATTAGCTTCTCTTTCCCAGTGCAGATTTAATTAATGCAGACAGCCTGGTGTCATTCTCATCCTTCTCATCCTATAGACACTCTTCAAAAGTGTGTGTTTGAGAGAGAGAAAGAGTGTCAGTGAAGACTTAGTTCCAATTCCAGCTGTCTTGAAGTAGGCAAGGATGCCTGACCCTATGAAATTCCACTTTGGCGCTAGCAAGGCAATTAGCAACAAATATTTGACTCAGTGAAGCAGAGCGGGCGGCAATCAGGCAAAACATTCGAGACATATTTGAGCCCGTCAGTTCTGAGAGATGGCTCAATGAAGTCAAATGCATTTAAATTGGTAATTTGGCTGAAAATCAAATGTACACAAATTTGTTCTTACCCCAGATGTAGTCGATCAGCCATGCCATGTTTGCCGCCTGAAATTTCAAGTCCAAGCTTTTTATATGTTAGTATTTCTTAACTATAAACTGCTTCTTTTTGTTCATTTATATACAATGAAAGGGTTTAATTACCTTTAATGAATGGACAAGTGTTTGGGAAAAGTGCAGAGAGATTTGGTTCTGCAGATGTCTGCGTTAGACTTTTATGTTGTGAGCATACAGTGATATGCAAAAATTTGAATACCTCTGATAAAATGATTTTTTGTTGATTTGTGAAAATAGCACATACTCTACAGAGAACACACTTAAATATGGCATTTTTTCTGCAATTTTAACACACAATTTCTATTTATTCGCGAGTTTAACATATTGAAAAAAATAACAAAATATGCCATAACTTTTGCATGGGCCATGTTTTTTGTTATATTTTCCCCCTCAATATGTAGAATTCAGCAAGTAAAAAGTGTTCTCTGTAGAGGATTAATACTTAAGTTCCATTAGAAAATGAACAGAGCATGTAATTTGACCAGGGCTGCATACGACTGTAGCTACCTGTCCGCTGAATTTAGGAACTGAGTGAGTGTCCATGGCTGAGGTGGCAGTCCTAGCTACAAAGCTAGTGTTGTTTTGTACAAATAATAGAAGCTTCTATCTTACCAATTAGCATCATGCAAACTGAATCATCAAACGCTTGCCACAAACGGCATAATCTCGGATAGACGTGTTTATGTGGCTTCTGACACTGTACGACAAACTGTCACATAGCTAGTACAGAAATAGGAGCCATCTTAAAGTCCATATTTTATTAATACTTTTTTGTTTTTTAAGTCATGTATGGCTGGAGATGTTCAAAATCCAAATCAAGGCAATGTTCCTAACACAGGTTTTCACCTGTAAAACTCCTGGACTACTTGATCAGTGACTTGATATTTTACTAAATTCAGTGTATGGTTGTGCTCACAGTGCATGTGGCTAGATGTCGACCACAGAACCTCTTCTTCTTAGTTATCATGTTGCAGTGCTGCCTAGTGACTAAACATGGAACCAAAAGTGCACATTTCTGAAACAATTATCCTTATGCTGAGGGTAATCTGAACCAATCAAATCCATTCTTTGTACACAAATGGTTTAATTGGATAAAAAGAAGCAGCTGCAGTTTAAACTTCATAAGAAATGCTTTCAACAGAAATCAAGAAAACTATTAAGTAAAGGAAGCTTATACCTCAGCACTTAGCATGACGCAAACTACACAATGTTTGCCTCAAACCATGCTGAAATATTGTCATCCATAAAAATAGATAAGTCACATAGCTGGAAACAGTAGTGGCAGTCATCTTGAAGTCTGAATTTTAGGCTAGTAATCCATGATGTTCAAGTCCAAGACTTTGGTTTTGAACTTTGGTTTAGTCTCAAATTGGTATTAGCAATTAAGCTAAACCTGCTATATTGTTCGTATAGGATGCACTGCAGCACACGTTGTACAGGTTATACAGCCTTATGGCCTGTGTTGTAGCCTTCTGTCTGGGATGGCCCTGGCTGTATGCACGTAAACCTAAAAATGGATGAAAAAGAGTTAGCCTTGCTCTGTTTCTTGCGATTGGCCATTTTACTTGGGCTCTTCCTTTTATTTTTACTTTCATGCATTCAGTAAACTTGTATATGAAAAAAATAAACAAATTAAATCAACCCATTATTGGTTAAAGTGATTGTAGCTTACTAGAAGCAGGCATACATCAGCTTTGCTAATTTAGCCGTTGGGCTAGCTAACATACTATCCAAAGTACAGTCTAACCAACCTTTAATGGGAGGTGTTTTATTGCATGTAGCGCATGTAGCACTTCGGTTATGTCCATCAGATTAGACAGTTTAGTGTCTAAGTAGAGTTGTGAGTCAACAGGCGACTCAACTGTGAGTCAAAACACCTACTTTGTTCTTCTGCTGGCTGGCCACTTTATGAGCTCCACCTACCTTATAGCTCCGCCATACAGATATACAATTACAGACTGTAGTCCGTCTATAATCAAGTACAATTTCTTTCCTTTACGTCAGAGCAGGGAGGAGACAGTAAAGAGCAGATTATTCAGACAGAATGCACTTGCCCTCCTCATCTTAGGCTCAGTGAGCTAATGGGCTAGCTGTGCAAACTTTGCAATCCAAGGGTTTACACACATAGCAATAATAAATATTAAAACAATTAATTTTAATGTGAGAAATAATTCCAAAAACCTTGTATTGTTTATCAAATTTTGCAAAGCTTCGAATAATGTTTTTTGCTCTATACATACTTTATTTACTTGTTTTAGCAAATGTTTTCTGATACAGTCACCTGTCATGTCTCTTCTGATGATGACGATGAAATACAAGATGATACTAGGTGGGCAAAGGCGTGGGGGGGATTTTGTTTTAAATGTTGTGTGCAAATTTGACATTCTTGTATTTGACAGGAGTTTTCTTTAAAAAGAGTCTTAAAACCTCATTCTTTGGTTCTGCTTGATTGTATGGTTAAACCCAAAATTGTTCTATGTGGCTGAAGGGTTTTGAAACCCCTCCACACTGGCTGCCTCTGATCTTCTGACCAAACCCACCAATAAAGGGAGAAAAGATGAACAGGTCTGTAGGGATGGGCTTACTGACCAGGTTGCCAGGTTGGTTAGGTAAAGGTTAAGGCTAGCTTGGGCTTTAAGAACTGAAAAAAAAACAGTTTTATTATGTTATACATTCTCATGGTTGTGGCTTAATGTGATTCACATAAACTAGGCTCGTTGGGCTTTTTGTGTAGCCATGTATTTCATGTATTTTGTCTCTTTCTCTGTAGTGTTGAGTCGTGCTCCTGTGCCAATGGCCGTGGTTCGTCGTGAGTTGTCATGTGAGGGTTACCCCATCGAGCTGCGCTGCCCTGGCACTGACGTCATCATGATCGAGAGCGCCAACTACGGACGCACAGACGATAAGATCTGTGACTCAGACCCTGCTCAGATGGAGAACACCCGCTGCTATCTGCCAGACGCATATAAGATTATGGGCTTCAGGTGAACACACACAGAGCAACATGCATATACAGTTCTTCTCCTTCACATTGTTTTTTTCTTAAAAATAATAGTTTTCCGTTCACTTTCCAGTCCATTCAGTCCATATACGGAAACTAAGTTGAAAAAAAAGGGATCAAAAATGGTCATGTAAAAAAGAAATTCTTGCTGTTTCTTTATTGCAATCAAAAATTTAATTTTCTTTTTTAATTTCTTTTTTTAATGTTTGTAACTGTTAAATTACAATCCTAAAGTGGCCAAACTGGCTGTTTAGCTTGCTTTATAGTTGTTCATACTTAGTAGCTCCCAAGTGAAGACAGACTCAGCTCAAGCTCAAATAAACAAACTTTGCTCACTGCTGTCCCTTTATTATTTTGAAGCTTTTTAAAATAAAATTTAATGAAAGAGACAGGATTTTCCTTTACATGGTTAAAGTTAGGAGCAGGTTTAGGAAGAGTGTTATTTTGTTACAGTATCATTAAAATCAGTGCAATATGCCACAGCCATAGTAAAATATTAGTGTGTGAGTATACTTCATGTAAAAAGTGGGTGAGTGGGAGAACACCATCTCCAAACTCTGCGATTGGATGATATACAGTACCACCTGTGTGTGTGGCCAGCTGCCGTACATACACACACACACACACACACACACACACACACACACACACACACACATTGCCCCGGGGTAGATCAGATTGTGAGCTCCAATTAGCAAGGCTGTATGGCCAAGATTAGTCACACTGTAAAGTTCATTAACATCTGCAACTTCCCCATTTTCTCTCTCTCTCTCTCTCACACACACAGTTAAACAAATCCAAGCACACACATTTCTGAAGCCCTTGCAGCAGCCTGTACACCTTTATAACGACGTAAAATAACTTGTTTAGAGAAGTTCCTAAATAATTTCTGTTAGTGACTGACTAAAGTCCAATGCATGCACCCACAGGAGCAATAGACAGGAAATAAAAAGATAAGAGTTTTAAAAAGGAGACACCTTCCCAGACTGATTCAAGCTTGGTAGTTTGGTCAGTTTCCTGATCCACGACAACAAACGTGAGTTTCTCGAAGCTAATGTTTCTGTAACCAGCCATGTTAACTAGCCAGCTAATGGCTGTTAAAACGGCAACCTTTGTCAGCATTTTGTTATTTACATCTTAGATTCATTTTCTATTTTCTTGAGGCCCCCTAATTTTACAGCTCCGATTCATTTGAGATGCAAAGGATTAAAATTATTACAGAAGAGTAGACAGAGTCCGTGGTGAACTCTTCTGGGACAAGATGAGTGAAACATCACGTTGGCTATAACTGTAAATGTTACTTGAACATTACTTTTCAAAGACTTAACACACTCACAACAGAAAAACTCAAATATAGTAAAGAACCATAAACAGATATATAAAGATACTTAAAGACAGATTTACTAATAAAAATGGTAATGTCGGCTAGAAAATACACCGATCAGACATAACATTATGACCACCTCCTTGTTTCTACATTCATTGTCCATTTTATCAGCTCCACTTACTATATAGGTGCACTTTGTAGTTCTCCAATTACAGAGTGTAGTCCATCTGTTTCTCTGCATACTTTGTTAGCCCCCTTTTACCTTGTTCTACAGTGGTCAGGACCCCATGGACCCTAACAGAGCAGGTACTATTTTGGTGGTGGATCATTCTCAGCACTGCAGTAACACTGACATGGTGGTGGTGTGTTAGTGTGTGTTGTGCTGGTACGAGTGGATCAGACATAGAAGTGCTGCTGGAGTGCTGAGAATGATCCACCACCCAAATAGTACCTGCTCTGTGAAGGTCCATGGGGGTCCTGACCACAGAAGAACTGGGTAAAAGGGGGCTAACATAGTATGCAGAGGAACAGATGGACTACAGTCTGTAATTGTAGAACTGCAAAGTGCACCTACATAGTAAGTGGAGCTGATAAAATGGACAATGAGTGTAGAAACAAGGAGGTGGTCATAATGTTATGCCTGATCAGTGTATATGAAGATGATAAAAAGCTACAAATACATAAATTACATCTCACGGATGACGTTATAGGAGGAACGATATGGAGCATCAAAAAATATGAGCTACTAATTTGGCTAGCTAGTGGAGTAACTAAATGTGTTGCCTGCAGGTTTGATTGTTTTTTAATTGCTTCAGAAGTTACAGGCAACTCACAACATACAACAAATTGCATGAAAGTTGCACTCTATAAAACCAGCCTAAGATTAGTAATTGAATAAAGCCTAGCGTTTAGGGGCAAACTCTGTTTCACCTAACATATTTTATAATACATTCAGGCAAAGTCAGGGCTTTACAGTCTGCCGGTATTGAGCTGTGCCTACTGCTTGTGTTTCTATAACCTATATGCTTCTTTCGCCACAGAATTTTTATTTGTACTGCAACTTTTTCAGATGTTCTAGTGCCAGTGCTACCTGCACAATAAGCTTATGTAGCATCTTGAAAATCTCCTATAACTCATTAAAATCTTCCCCAGGAGGAATTTTAATGTGTACATGTGTACACTGAGTATAATAAAATGTACGAGCATATGGACTTAAAGCTTTCTATGTGCTACTGTGTTTTCCATCACGTTTTCCATGCTTTGAGTGACTTAACTTTGAGGGACAGAACTTCTGGTGAAGTGTAAACACACAATACGTTAAATGTAACATCCTAATTTGATAGTAATGTGGGAATAAATGAAAAATATAAATAATCTTTATTGTTAGGATCGCTCGAACGCTTGTCTGCCGATGTTTATAATCATTCTGTCAACAGAAACCTGCAAGAGAAACGCTGTAGTCAGAGTATTCTGTTTATAGCCTCCACAAATTACTCACGCTAATAAAGTCATTTCATTTGTCTTCGCACTGAGAGTCAGGTACAGATAGGAATCTGTAAAGCAGTGCCATTACATAGCAGTCATATTTTTTAAAGCCGCTTTATGATAATGCTCCGGGTCATTTTCCATATACAATAATGATATTCATATTCATTACAGTTACAAGACTGTAGACTACCCTGAAAACATCTGTGTCAAGCTTAAACACTTTTTGTTTTGCACCAGTAGGCCAAGATCTTATGATACATCCCCAAGTTCTGTCCACCCTATCATGGACAAACACAACATACTTAAATTATGTTCTAAAGTTTTGTAGAAACTGTAGAGTCATTTTCAAAGACATATTGTGTCCCCTTTTCAACAGTAATTGCGTATGGCCCTTCAAAGTCTTTGAGTTATGGATTTTGTTATAAAATGAATTTCTTCTCCCATTGTGTCCACATCATATCCTTTTTTCTCCAAACAATAGCAAAAAAAAACATCTTTGAGCAAAAATTTAAATAATTATATTTGAATTACCCATTGTTATGTATAAAAGTAAAAACAGTATATATCAATTATAATTTTATGTTTACCTGCGAAAAATTGCTAATTTATTTTAATAAAACATGAAGATGATGGGCTGGACAAGGACATGGTAGTCTGCACCGGGATATGACAGGGTAGACAAGAACATGTCATATTTACAAAAATGTCAGCAGTTTCATTAATAGTGTGTCCATAATATATACCTAAGCCTATATTTGACAGTGGAGGGTGGCTTTGGATGTGTGAGGAGTGAGTGATTGTGGCTGTTGGTTTTTTTACCAAAGCATAACTAAGATAAAAAACTTAGAAATGTATGAACAATCTTTGATCGTAATTTCTGTGATGCAATATGCCCCAAAACTAAAAGAGAAGACCACACATAAAAAAAAATAAAATAGAAGAGTAAATGTTTTTAATTAATTTTTTTTACAGGACTATGAAAAAAGGTCTCATAATTAAAAGATGGGATAAAAATATAATCTCAACAGGTTAACACGTTCACACAAACCTGATATTCAAAGACTTGACAAGTCAAAAGCTTAAAGAAAATCAGCAGGCTAAATCTCTGAGTCGAGAGAGAGAGAGAAAGAAAGAAAGAAGTATTGAGGGTGAGACTACCTGCAGGTGTCTTTCCCATCTAACACAGACTTGGTCAAAGCAGTTTTCCTTTTATGTAAATTGAATGTGAAATAGACAATCTACATATACAGTCGCTGTGCAAATCAAAACTTATTACACAGACTTGGGTTGCTTTAGAAACTGAACACGGTGTCATTGGTCAGATTCAGTCAACAGAGATAGTGTCCCCCATGCACATCTTAATGATGTCAGCAAAGGTTGCTCTGTGAAGCCCAAAGCCTATATATATATATATATATATATATATTTGTACACACACACACACACAAGTAATTGTAGTAATCGTGTTAAATAATCATGATCGCAGTATTGACGAAAATAATCGTGATTATGATTTTTCCCATAATTAAGCAGCCCTGCGATGCTGTAAATACCCAATTCCCTAGATGTAAGAAATATATTCTTAAGCAAAATATTCTGTATTCAAGAAATTCAAATTTGACTGTGAGTGATAATCTACATCCGTTCACTGTGTTTTGGTCATGCTCATTATTTAAATGCCCTTGTCACAGTGTAAGGAGTGACAATAGGTAAAATTAACCTGTTTAAAACCTTGCAAGAACAGTTTGCCTCTTTTAACATATGTGGTTTATTATTTATATTTACATATTTTATTTAAAAAACATCACCCTATCATACAGGCATCCAATTTTACAATTTTAGCTAAAGTTAGCATTTCATGAACACGTGGTTGACCTATAGTTGTACAACCCCATTTCCGAAAAAGTTGGGACCCTGTGCAAAATGTAAATAAAAACAAAAAGCAATGATATACACATGATTTAAACCTTGTTGTGGTTTGGACACAATTTTTACTGTAAAGCTGCTATGTGACAATGCCTGTTGTTAAAAACGCTACATAAATAAACTTTGACTTGACTTGAGCCATGCTACATACTGCATATTATTCCACATTGCCTTAGGGACAATTAATGGGACAAAACGATAACTTAAAAAGTAAACACACCCTTTTTGACTTCGCTAAAAAA